TTCGATAGTTAAAACGACTCACGACTTAGTTTTATTTATAACTAATTGCATGCCCGTGTTATGCTAAGGGACTTAAACTTTTCTGACCTTTAAAAAAAAAATATTGAAAAATTACTTGATGATGTTATTAAATCTAAAAATATAATTATTTTGATTTTTTTTAGAAATAAAATTTTCAATTAACATATCTCTTATTTATTTTAGTCAGCATAGTAGTTTTAACCAAAAATATTATCTTTGTTTTAAAGAAATTATAATTATTAGAGCAAATTTTAAAAAAATATCAAAATAGCATGTTTTATATTCTGTGTGATAGAAAGTTTAAAAAATTATAAACATAATAAAATAATGTTCTAAATCTATTTAAATATTCTAATAAAAAACAACTGATTTTAATTGAATTTTTTATAAACAATTTATTATTATTAGTATTGTAGTTTTAAACCAAAAATATGATAATTAAAAAAATATTAAAAATTAAATAAAAATTTATAATAATATTTAAAAATTATATTAGAACTAAAGAGTGTGAAAAAAAAGAGTAAAAAAAAGAAGTCATGAAAGGCCAGAGCATAGTGCTTGGCCTCTGTGCATTCAGCAAGTAAAACCCACGTATCTTGTTTTTTTTTTAATTATTATTTGTCTTAATTAATAATACCCTAAATGATACAGGCGATTATTGTTTTTCTATATTGTGGATTACAGTGGTAATTTATAGTTATTTTTTATATATTTTTTGTTTTTTTAAATTATTATTTTTAACTTTCCTGTTTTTTATTATTTTTTTATTTTGTTCAGAATTATTTTTATTAATTTTACTTTTTAAATATTAACCTGGTCAAAATTTTTACTTTATAATTTTTTTCTTTAAAATATTGTGAATTGTTCTAGTATTTTCTTACATAGTTTTTTATTTTATTTTTTAAAATTATATTTGTTGAGTTTTTTTTAATATTGAGCCGATTGAAAATTTAGTTTTATAATTTTTTTATTTAAAATATTGTTGATTGTTACAATGTTTCTCTGTATGATTTTTTTTAAGATTTTCTCTGAAATTATTGTTTTATTTTATTTTTTAATACTGAGTTGATTATAAATTACAGCTATAATATACGAGGAAAGAAGTGTAACTTTTCTTGAAAATTACTATTGATTGCTATAATATTTTTCTACATGATTTTTTTATTATATATTTTTTTTAAATTATATTTGTCAATTTTATTTCTTAAATATTAAACTAGTTAGGAATTGCAATTACAAATAAATACATGTTTTTCCTCACAAAACAATATAGATTGATACAGTTTTTTCTTATATGGTTTTTTCCCGGTATCTTTTGTGTTTTTTTATAATATTTTTTTTTAAATTATCTTCATTATTTTTTTTTTAAATATTGAGTTGGTTGGAATTTAACTCTGCAATAAAACTTAATCATGTAGGG